TTCCAGTCCTATGATTCTATGAAAGCTTGAAAAACGGGGTGGGCATGAGGAAGGCAGGGATGGAGCAAGGCATGTGTGAGGGACAGGGGCATGAGGGGAACGGTGGCAGAGGGTGGTGAGGGGGTGGGCATGAGGAGAAAAGAGAGCGACAGGGGCAGTGAGGGAAGGGAGAGGCACCAGGAGGGTGCAGGGCTAAGGAAAGGTGCAGGTGCCAACGGATTCTGGGGGTGAAGCAGAAGGGCAGATGCGTGCAGGGGAGGGACCAGCACCAGAGGAGAGAGGCAGGGCAGGTGTGTAGAGGGGTGGCAGAGGGTGGTGAGGGGGTGGGCATGAGGAGAAAAGAGAGCGACAGGGGCAGTGAGGGAAGGGAGAGGCACCAGGAGGGTGCAGGGCTAAGGAAAGGTGCAGGTGCCAACGGATTCTGGGGGTGAAGCAGAAGGGCAGATGCGTGCAGGGGAGGGACCAGCACCAGAGGAGAGAGGCAGGGCAGGTGTGTAGAGGCAGAGAGAAGGGCTGGTGGAGGGGGGCAGGTCTCAGGAAGGCTGAGGGCAGTGAGAAGGGCAGGAGTCAGGACAGCAGAGATGGATGAGGGGTTGGGGGCGGGAAGAGGCAGCAGGCACCAGGGGAGCTGATGGTGCAAGGGGTGGAGACATGGCAGCAGAGGGGAAAGGTAGAGGTTTATAAGATAGGTATTCATAACTTGGGTGCCACAGTGACACATTCAAATAAGCCACAAACTCAGTACTGGTGCACAACACAAAGGCTATGTCTACACTCGCAGCTTCTTGCGCAAGGGTTCTCGTGCAAGAAATCTTGCACAAGAAAACATCCACACTGCCATGTGCACGCTGTGCTTTTGTGCAAGAGCTCCCATGGCAGTGCGGACGCTCTCTTGCACAAGAAAGCTCCGACAGCCATTTTAGCCATAGGGCTTTCTTGCGCAAGAAATCCCTGCTGAGCGTCCACACTGCCCTCTTGCGCAAGAGGGCTTACACCTGTTAAAAAAGAGTGTAGCTCTTGTGCAAGAAGCCCTCTCTTACCACACGGTACTGTAAATTTCCTTGCACAAGAGCAGGCGGGCAGTGTGGACGCTCTGCAGATTCTTGCGCAAGAACGGCCATACTTGAGCAAGAAACCGTGAGTGTAGACATAGCCAAAATGTATTGTGCTCATGGGAAGAGACTCTTAAAGGGAACACTTCCCCCAGCCTCTCCGCCCCCGAGGTAATATCACACACCTTGGGTTAATGCAATCGCAGGATAGTTGCATGAGGGGGGTTTGGTGAGGGCCAAATCAATCCCTATTGGTAAGAGGATGGTGGGAAAGTCCTTGGGGGGGGGGTGGTCACATGACATCTTTTATTTCCAGTCTCATGTCCATATTGCCCCGAAAGTATTACCTCCAGAGGCATGCCTAACGGGAGTTGGGGGTCAAAGTACATTTTTTAAAAAATTCTTTGGGTGCACACCCTAGTGAAATGTGCTGCACACGCCTGTCCCAATTTTACCCTTTGGCTCCTCTCTTGGTCATGCACCCACACACTCAGTTTGGCCCCAGCAGACTTTGCCTCCCCTTTAAAAAAAC